AGCACCTGTAGAATCAAGGAGTGTCTGAGATTGGTGAACGCTTTTTCCACATCAAGTCCAAGTAGTACCTTAGTGTCCTTTGTGCCCGCAGGGGCGTCTGCACAAGCAGGTGTTTGGTGTATAGCGATACCACGGACACAAGCTAAGGAGGGGGGAGTTTCGACCCCCTCTCACACCCAGCCGTGCGTGGCTTTGCCGTGTCTGGGTAAAAGGGGATCTTGGGTGTTTAGCCGAAGCCGGGTGATTGGACCTTTAAGGCCTCCCGGCAGAGGCAACACACCCCTTTGGCCCGGCTTACATAGACAGCATCCCTGGGCTGACCCACCCAGGGGAAAACAGCAGTCATCTTTTCCTATCTCTCTCTCTACCTACACCTTCGTCTTTACCTCTCACTTAACATCTTTCTTATCTTCTCCTCTCTTCTAGTCACTTGTAATTTTCCTGGCGGCAAACGTGACTCTGGCATGTAGCACCCAGAGTAGGTAAACGTGCTGCGAACCACGCCTTTGCCAGTTACCATGTTATTCGCCATAGCAAAAGCACATAAAACACTTTTTTCTGTATTTAAGTTGCATCATTCAGGCGATAAATAACCGGTGCTGTCGCCAGATCAAGGGGTGCGTGCCGTTACTTTATCTGGTAGAGCACGTCTTGAAAGTTAGCTGAGAAGTCGGGGCCTAAACCTAACCCCATCTTGAAAAAAAAAAGAGGAGGTGGGGGAGGGTGCGTAGCAGTGTTCGAAAATTTCTTGGGCTTGCTTTAACCTGTGCAGAACGCTGGTTAAGCCACCTTTGCCGCACTACCCCAGTGCCCTGCGGAAAAATGCATTATGATTTGGAAGGGGCGCTTAACACTACGCAGTCACAGGACACAGCGCATTTTGTTCAATTACTCATGCGTGTATACGCCACATAACAGTGAGTACTATTATGATTGCTGACTTCTAAAAATATTTCATGCAATCATTTGGAGTAGTGTATAAAATTGCTGGCACCTTAAAATAACTGTGTCAGTTTTTTTTTTTTTGTTTTTTTTTTTTGTGCTACCCCTACTCCTCAGTTTCACTAATCCCCTGAATTTCTAGGTCGCCAGCTTGGCAGATCCACATTTAAATTCGCAAACTCTGTCAAAGTATTTAAAAGATGCAGCAGTTGCTAATGTAGACTTTATCATTATTTGCTAAGGGGGGTGGTACAAAATACAGTTGAACCACTTTTTAAAAGGCACTGATATAAGAGACAAATAGGTATAGGAGACCCCTGTATGCCTATAGTAAAATACGGGCTGATAAGAAAATGCATATAGGGTACTCTGCTTATTAAAGTTTTGTAAAAAATGGGTGTTTTTTTTTTCCTGGAACTTGCTCCAAATTTGCATTTAGTGCTCCAAATTTGATCTTTTGTGATAAAAAATGGGTGTTTTTTTTTTCCTGAAACCTGCCCCAAATTTGCATAGTGCTCCAAAAACTAAATTTTGGTGCTCCTAAAATTGCTCTAAATGCTATTTCGGCTGTTGCACCCCTGCAGGACGAATCCACCATTCCACAAATGAAAGTACGATCTTGCGTCGAATCTCTACATGTCGACGTGCTGCAACGAGTGGGATAGGAAGGGTCTGTAATGAGAGATAAATTCAAGTTTAGGGCCTGTTGCCATAGTCTCTCCCTTTTAGTAGTGCTATGGACATACTTCCTTACATGATAGGGCGCATTAAAATCACCTCGACTATAATATATTCAATCCTGTGATCCCCCATGAGAAGATCATGCCTAACATACGCCAGCCTTCTACTAATGAGTGTTGCAAGCCCTCAGCCCTGCTCATTATCTTTAACCTCCGTTCTGAAACCGGTTAAGGTTACGCTTGACATCAGTTTCCTGCAACATGGCAACCTGAGGTTTCACACTGCCCGTTCTAACAACTGCTGCAGGGACGCTTTTTTATGGTTGAACCCCCTACAATTCCACTGCCAAATACTAAATGAACTATTTAATGAAGCCACCATCTTAACTATGTAAATTTGGTTTACTCATGTTGAGCTTAATTCTAATAGGGGATTCGTCCTGGTGGGCCAGTGGCAGAGCGTGCTCCCACTCCATAACAGGAACCACCGTCTCGTTAACATATACAGCCAAACCTCATTATAATAAAGTTGAAGGGAGAGTCATAGTTACTTTGCTATAACCATTAGTTTGTTATAGCCAATATTCATTACTACCAACAATTAGCGTGAAAGAGAGAATGTACTCACCACTGAATGTCACAGCAGCCCACTGCGCAGGAAAAAACAGTTGTTGGAAGATAAAAAACTAGCAAAATAATAAAGAGCAATGCACTAATAAAGAGCAATGCGCTCCTCGTCAGCCACGTTCTCTTTAGAAACCTCCACAGGCCTTGGTACTTCAACCATACCATCAAGTTTGCTACCCTGACCTAAGCTAGCGCTGTTACCGGACCGGAAACTTCTCTTGAGTTCAGCTATCTCTTTTAAACAAGCCCTTCAATGGCTGGTTTTTCAGCTATGATTCTTTATCTTCAATTGCCCAATCCTTTCTTTATCCCGATTACCACACACATGCTCTTGGCTTTGCTCACGAGTTTGGCCAGTGACGGGTCCGCCCTTGACCTTGTCAACTCAGTTGGTACGCCTTCCACCTGCATTGCCGCCTCCACCAATAAACGCAGAGCGGTTTCTTGAGGCTGGACTCCCATACGATGGCCGTCGTCCCAACTATGAACGGTTCCGAGAGCGCGAGTTTCTCCCAGAGCGTTGAGAGACGCTTGCCAGCTGCGCTGTCTCGACTGCTTCTTGTTTCGCCCCTAGTTCCGCCCTGGCTCGCTCCTGTCGGCGAACATGCCCGGCGTAGGGAACCTGGTACTGTTGTCTGCATCGCTAATCCGCTGTCAGGTGTTGACCTCTATAAAGCTTGCAACAATGCTCATAGTTATGGTCCTTTGCAGGATGCCCAGCACCGCATCCCCGGCATTCAAAGCAATTAGGTGCAGGACAGACATCCGCCCGATGTCCAAGCTTCCCACACACATAGCACACGTGGACTTGCTTGCGGTACAAGCAACAAAGGAAAACGGACCAAAGCTTGCTCATTCCTTACAAAATTGGGGACTCTCAAGCCATCCAACACAATGATTACCGAGCTGGTATTCTTGATTTTTTTTATGGCTAGAGCCAGTGGATTGCGATCATTAACGATGTTCCACTCAAGGGCAGCAGGTTCATCCATAATGCAACAGAACCGAAAGTTGGGATAGTTGAATATGCATGGTATAACTGTCGTTTAAGCGCACAAAGAAAAACAGAGGACCAAGTTCTTTTGTGTTTTCTTGTGCGCTTAAACGACAGTTATACCATCCATAATGTCCACGTGGCGAATGACCCCTTTACACGTAGTGGGTGGGGCAGTCTCTTATACACTCACCTCAAAATTCTTGTCTGCCATCTTTGCTGACCTTATTCTGACATAGCGTTCTGCGTCTCTCCTTTTTGGCGTACTAGCCACTGAGATAATTTATATGAAGTTGGGGCAGATAACGTCTTCTTTATTCTGCTCAGTAGTGAGGCCTGCCGCCTCGATGATAGTCCTGCTCACAGTTGTGAAGCTGACTTTCTCCAAATCAATCCACCCCGTGGGCAAATGACTATCTTGATGTGTTCTTCCAGCATTGGTGGCATTCGCGATGCCTGCATAATGCACTGCTTGATTGCAAAGTCTCTGCGCTGTCCATCTATGCACTGTCGTTCAGCCAGCTCACCTTGTGAACCGTCATCATCTGATAGAGGCTTCGTCGGAAGTCTCGATTTTCGGTTGGACGCTGTCCGCCATCTGAGATCTTCAGTGAATTCCTCTGCCGACAGCACTTCCCCTTTGACTTGCATAGCTGCCATGCTGGACAGGCCTGCCAGATGCTGTGCCTAGCGCTTGGCCAACGCGGCAGCAGCACAAAAATTGAGATAATCTTCAAAAAAGCTGTGACCCACCTCAAAGTCCGATATCTGCCAAATCCCGTCGTCTTCATGGATCTGATGATGTCAAATATGCAGCACACGGTGACATAAATGCTGGGGAAGCATCGGCAAAAGATGAAGCCGAAATGGGCGCGTCCGCTCACTTCAGCGACAGGCATAATCTGGGCAGCAATTGTTGTCTTTTATATGAGATGTCTCTTATAAGCAGTGTGTCTCATATGCATTTCATTATCGTTGATTGATATGTGGGGTTTAACATCTCCAAACCACCATATGATTATGAGAGGTGCCTTAGTGGAGGGCTCCAGAAATTTCAATCATCTGGGGTTCTTTAACGTGCAGCCAAATCTGATCACACGGGTCTACAGCATTTTCGCCTCCATCGAAAATGCAGCCGCCACAGCCGGGATTCGATCCCGCGACCTGCGAGACAACAACCGAGTACTTTAGCCACTAGACCACCGCGGCGGGGCGCATTTTAGTATCAACACATTTTACTGTAGGCACACTCGTGTCTCTTATCCCCATTTCGCTCTTATATCAGTGTCTCTTATAAAGGGGTTTGACTGTATTCAGGTGAGCAGATTATGCATGTGCTCACCTCAGTAGCTGAAGCCTGCCAACAAACTGTCTGAGGGAAACATGACAAATTTCAGTTTGATGTCCGAGTCTGCCACTGCACAAGCTGGGTGGCCGCGGTGCACTTCCTCTGTAAGTTGGCAAGCTATTCCAAAAGCTCAGTTTCTTTTTGAACACACCTCTTAAATCAAACACTACAGCACAAGACCATAGACCGCCCTATTTGATGTATTCACAAAACGCATTTATAGCACAAATGTTGTCATTCAAAAATGGAAACATTGACAGGTGAGCTTCTCAAGGTGATTGCTTGTTTGATTCTAAAATCAGCATGCCATTATGGTTTCTTTCTTATCTGAAGCAGCAAGTGCCACTGAATGTGTTGCTTGTTAAACTACAAAGATAAAAAAACATTATTTTTCTATCATTGCATGTAGGACGGCAGTGCAATGCTTTTGCCGACCAAGATAATGGAAGCTCCTGCTGACGGCAGTGATGCTACCCACTATGTCAATGCGGATGATAACATTGACAAAAAAGTTGACCAAAAGGATGGCGAGATGGTCGACGAGAAGGCCAAGTCACCAGAGGAGGAAGAAAGCAGGCAGTCTTCATCAGAAGAGCAGCAGAACGAACCTTCGCCTGTTACCTTACCTACTGTAAGTTCCTTGTGTATTCATTGTGCCTTCATGTGTGATTGCAGTGATAGTAAAATTAGGTGTAGAAATCAGATCAGAGAAATCTGTTCCAATGAATAGCAGATTTTGCTAAAGAAAATGTGCAAGATTCCAGCACTGTCAGGCTACCATGAAAAGTTTTAAGCATCAAGAAGTGACTGTAGTGACAAATTTTTACAAAACGAGAATGAGAGAAAGAATAATAAGGGGGGTATTAAAAATGTGTTTTGGAATTTTCGATTTAGTGTAACTGTCGATAGACAGTCTGAGCTCCACACGAACTGCCTAAAAGTTTCAATAGCCGGAACTTCTAGGTGAAATGCCTGAAAAGAAACATCTGACTTTGTTTAACATAAAAAAAAAAAGGCAAGGGGGGGGGGGGGGGCATAAGCTTATCATTTTTTGCTGCTTGAACATATGCTTGCCTATTCTGTAACATCTATCATCATCAATTATTACTGTAAATAGACACAATAATGGTAAAAAGATGCAAAAATTTGGTTCAGGTGAACAATTTCTTGCATTTTTTGCTAATGTATAACATTTTTTGATAAACAAGCATCTTTTTCAAATGTAAAAGTAATTTAGAGGTGGTTGTGGTGTTTAACACTTCACATATCCAGAATTATTAATTTCTCTTTGGAATCCGCTCATTCAATAAGCATGATATATGCATTTGAAAGACAATTAATGTTTCTTGAAGGACATAAATGTAAAAAATGAGTGAAATATAGCAGAAAATTGGCTTCTCTTCAGGCTTGCAGTTAGTTTTGATGAAGTTATTTTAGCAGTAGCAGACAACGAGGATGATCTTTATTAGCATTTCTTTTAAAAGGAGGTGAAGTCTACTAGTCGCTAAGCCTGTTCATTGTAAACGTATATTTCTTTATAATATTGTAGTCTAGCATTCTGGCTATCGTGGCAAGAAACCCCCCCCCCCCCCCCCCTTTTTTTTCTTGCGACAGATAATCGTATAGTCTACAGTAGTGTGCCCATTCTAGCTGTATGTTCATGCTGAGCTTGTCCACTGGAGGTGTAGGTTAAATGGGTTTCATTTACACATTATATTTTATAGTCGCAGGACATATATCTGTAGTTCCCCAAAACTCTGTAATGGGGCATAATATCAGCGTGTCAGCATTTGTGTGTGGTACATTTTCTTGGGTACACACTCATTATGCCACAGTCGTACTAAACATTTGTGTGCCGTAAGGTGGTCATTCTGCCTTCTGGTGGAGGCTTTGGATGTCAGGTATTTATGTTTCTAATCGAACTGAAAGTTTCGTGATCTGTTTCTAATTCATGGCTAAGCTGCTGTTTTCCTAAAGATGACACTATGGCTAAGAGACACAAGGCATTACTGTATCACCACAAAACTTATCTTCAAAAAAAAAAAAAACTTCACGCACTACATTTGTTGTTGGTTAGTGTGCCATGTTTTTTATTTTATTTTTTGTTTTTCTTTTAATCGGTGTGAAATCTGTGCCAGGTTGCTCCGGATTTGTGTACACTGGAACCCCGTTCAGATGTTTTTCAGCGGTCCGAGTAGGAAAAACGTAACAGCCAAGAAAACGCAAGACTGAAGAAAGCTCTGAAAATGAATGAAAGCACAGGCCCTTTGACTACAAACAATTTATTTCGGCAAGGAGCCTGAGACTTAAAATATTCAAAGATAGTTGGCTGCTGCATCTTTCGCTCGCTGGTAACCACCACGCGTTTCTCAATAATCTGGAAGGCCACATTGCTTTCAGCGTCGCTTTGGTGTGCGACGTACCTGTGAAGGTAGTCCAGGGCCGCGATGGCTTCTGTAAAGTTGAGATCGGCCGACTCCTCTGCGAACTCTTCAGAATCGCGTTGCTCGTGCTCACCGTCGTTATCGATGTCCCCGTCTTCAGTTGCGCAATGATATCTGCGATTGTCTGGCACTCCGACATCACGACGGCAGCATCCACAGCGACGTAGTCGTTGCACGCCGTACCTGTGGCACCCAGCGCATTCATTGCCTCATTGAGCTTTTCCTCACACGAGGCTGCTTCCGATTGTTGAGCTTCGATGGCAGGCTCCCCTTCGCTGTCCATACGGAACCCACATCGCGCAAAGCAGTGCTCTACAGTTGGTGTGACGCAGTACTCCACATTGATGCAATGTAATGCATAACATCGAGTGCGGGAATCGTCGTAGGCTGCTGTACACGATCACTGCGCGCGAGACAGCGCTCGAAGATGCTTTTTTTTTTTTTTTTTTTTGGTACGAGTGCTTCACGCATTTCATGACCCCGGCATCCAACGGCTACAACTGGCTTGTCGTATTTGGTGGGAAAACAAAAAACAAAAACAAGTTTCACGTTTCGTAGAAACTGCAGATCTATCAGGTGGGCAGCACAATTGTCCAGGAAAAAGAAAACCCTCCTGCTCTGTGAACCCATCTTATTATTGAGATATCGAAGAAACTCTTCAAACAAAGCGCACGTCATCCATGTACAACTGTTACTTCTGTAATGGCATGGCATCAGGCAAGTGTTTTTCAATTTCAAGCACCTTGTGTTTTTAAACTTGCCAATCACCTACGACTTTAGTTTGTTTGAGCCGTCCAAGGAGCACCGTCAAAGGAGCACCGTCAGCCGATCTTTGCTGCACTTGCCTCTGTGACAGGCTTTGCCCTTGGGGCTTAACAATTTCAATGGCTGTATATGAAAGAAGGGCTTTGTTTAGTCAGCGTTGTACAGTAGAATCTCGTTATAACGAAGCGGGATATAACGAAGCAATTGTAATTCCCCTTGAAATTCCCATAGACGCCCATGTATTTAAAACCTCGTTTTAACGAAGCGAAAATTTCCTCACAATGGATATAACGAACCATTCTTTGACCACAACGAGCATTTACTGATCATTTTGGTATACGTGAATTCAATATCTTATAGCGCGCGCCGGTTCACGTCCCATCACGGCAGCGGTAATTCAAAACTCGCGCCTTGCGCCGCCTGCCAACACGCGCGTGGGTGCACGTCGCCCTGCCTCCCCTTTCCTCGGGAACTAATGGACTCGCCCGCGCAGCAACTCGCGCGAGCGTGCGCGTCAGCCGACCTCCCCTCTCCTGTGGAACTCGTTGACCCGCCCGCGCATCTGACCTCCTCCTTCCCTCAGCTCCACGCTGGGTCGGCGGAGATTGCGGCTTTGTTGGCTTTGTGCTTGGTTCCTTGTCGTTCGCTGTGGAAGAGCAACACCCCTCCGCCGCTAGACATGGACAACGGCAAACGTAAGCGCAAAATCATCACAATTGAGCAGAAGTCTGCAATGTTGAGAGCCGTTGAGTCCGGCGTCAAGAAAAAAAAAGTGGCCGAAGATTTCGGCGTATTGTTCTTTATTATTGCATTGTTCTTTATTATTTTGCTAGTTTTTTGCCTTCCGACGGCCGTTTTTTTCTGCGCGGCGGGCTGCTGTGATATTCGGTGGTGAGTACATTCTCTCTTGCTGGCTAATTGTCGGTAGAAATGGATATTGGCTATAACGAACTAATGGTTATAACGAAGTAATTACGACTCCCCCTTCAACTTCGTTATAACGAGGTTTGACTGTATATGTCACGAGGCTAATGTGAACTTCCAATCATCGGCTGTTTCCACGTTCACACTTGCCGCTTCTCCACTCACCGTTTTGTAAGTGATGCCGCGCCTCTTGCGGAAACGGTCAATCCAGCTATTTGACTCCACAAAATCAGTGATGCCCAGTCTGTCGGCTATTTCCATCGCCTTCTCGCATAAAATGCTGTCGTCGAAGTTGATTCTGGCAGTGCGAGCTTGCTTGAACCAAGTGAAAAAAGCCTTGTTCAGGTTCCTGTGCTTAACGCCATGAGCTTCCTTGGCTTTCGGGTCGAAAATAGCGGCATTTCCTTCAATTTTGGCACATCTCGAGATGACGCTATTGAGCGTTGACGGTGGCAGTCTAAGGTCTTTGGCAATGTCAACCCTTTTTTTGCACTGGCTGTTTGTCTATTGCCTTAAGGACGTCCAGCTTTTTCTCAAGGGAAGGTGCTTTTCACTTATGCAAAGCTTTTAAGGCTTGACAAAGATTGTGTTGACATGTTCAACGGTAACAGGCTTGGCACACACAACAGCGGCTGAAGATGAGTAGCAACGTGCGACGGTGGGACTGTGATGCACTTCCAGCATTCCATGGTGAAACTTTTGTTGTAAGCACAGTGATGATGGTGATAGCACTTTTCAGAAATGGCCATCTAGGGGCGGGCTCTCCAACTGTCCTGCGGCTTCTTGCAGCTTGTTCCGTAGCCAAGCCAGACCAAGACTCAAACGTCAAATCAAATTGGCGGTGCCCGGGTGGGTTCGGCGGACTAGGTTGTGACGCATCATGCAGGAACGTTCTCACAGTTGCGATGTAATAGCAGGGTTCGCAATACATGGGATTTTATGAGAGCTATGCCGGGACCTATGAAAGACAACGTAACAGCCGAGAAAACCCAGCAGTGAGGAGCGTAACAACAGGGTTCCACTGTATTGACTGTCGGCTATACTGATGTTTGCTCAGGACATGAAAGCACAATGACATGAAGAACCTTCTGCAGCCCTATATGCTATTCTAAACAGTAACTGTACAGCTGCATGCAAATATCTTTTTTTTTTTTTTAGTGACGCTAAATTCATGTGCCACCTTTTGCCCATACGAAAAAGAGTATGTGATTGTGCATGCTGTCTTTTTTCATAATCTATAGGTCATGAAGTCTCCAGAAAAGGTGAAGAGAAAGAAAAAGAAGAAGAAATCCAAAAAAGCCAAAAAACAAAAACGAGTGAAAAGAAGCAGCAGCAGCTCAGATAGTGAGGACTCTGATACTAAGGCCGAGAGAGAAAGGAAAGAGAAAATTAAGAAGGTAAGACTGGTGTCATTGTGTTAATCATGAAAGTTTATCTGTTTTGTATAAGTGTACACGAATGTTTTTAGTTTTGCTAAGCAAATTGAGCAATACTGTATGCATTGCAGTAGGGGAGAATTTAAAGTACAATCAAATTCACTGTTAATTATTGTGCATTTGACAACCTTAAAGGGGCCCTGTGATGCTTTTTTGTCTGCATTATACACCACTGGAGTTAATACAGTGTCGAACACAAAGACGAACGCAAGAAGAGTTATCTAAATTGGTACACGGTAATGAAAGTTATAAGCCCTCAAACTTCAAAATCTCAGCATACGATGAAGAAAAACGTTTCCTTTCTCATTTTACTCTCCCACTGGCGCTTTCAGTCACTGTGCCCCTCTCACAGACACCTACCAAACGACTCGCCTTGTGGTGGCTGTTGTGCAGCGCTCCTAGCATTGTTTTGCAATTGTTTTCACAAGACATATTCTTTTGTATCTAAGGAAGTATAAGAAGTGCTTTTATAATTTTTAGTGCACAGCAGTGTGGCCAATCTGAGACTGTACCAATATTGCGCGCAATTTGTCGCATTGAACCAATCAAAATGCACCGCCCATGTTGTCACTCCTACATGGTAAAGTGTCACTTCTGATCACAAAAATAGCCGCTGTGTGTCACTCTAGTCTGAAAACAGTGCAGTTTATCTATAGAAATAAAATTATAACAGCTTTGCTTTTGGCATTGCCCCTCGCGCACTGATATGAGTGCATTCCGCAGTTCAAGAAGAAGCGATAAAAGCACGCTTAATTCATGTCACAAGGCTCCTTTAAAAATTTGAGATATGCTATGTTTGAAGAAAGTAGTGACACAGTTCAGTGGGAACTAAGAACGATGCTGGCTGTTAGAAATTCACTGTGTTTTGAAGGAATGCTATGACAGGCATTCTCCCTTGTAGTTAAGATAAGAATTGTGTACACTGTAGACAAGCAGTGATTTTTTGGAAAAGTCATTCATGAAATTTTTTTTCGAGAAAAGCAGAATGAAATTTCACTTTAAATGCTTTGCATTTGTACCGTATTTACTTGCGTAATGAACGCACTTTTTTTCTCAGAAAATGGGAGCAAATTTGGGGGTGTTATTAATTATGTGGGGCAAATTTTAATAAAACTTTTCGAAGATAAGCAAATAATGTGGTAATGCAAAAAAAAAAGGGATAGCTCGCTTAGCCTTTTGTAATTTACATATGTTTGTTTTGTTTGGAAACAGCTTCTTTGTTGCACTTCACTCATCTTTGGTGATTGAAGGCGCTATCTTCTGCAAGCTGTCCCTGCGCCACCCATGCACTCTGTAAAAGCATTTCGCGGCTTTGTTTTCTCGCGATCGTTTAACTACAGCAGTGGAGGCTGCTGTGATCTCAAGGGGCGCCCAGAAGCATGCGAGACGCACTTTGCCAACTTTGTGGCAACCTTGCACGATAACCGCGACATTATTGTTCACATTGCACCAAGCTACCCCCGAAGCATTCAAAACAAACCGTCGATAACAAGATGAATGACAAAATACGGCTGCTGTCTCTCTGTTCACATGAGACGTTACTGTAGAAAAGGTAGCCTATATCTTGCGTTCCTTGAAGTACGCGCAGATAACAAGCACGAAGCAGAAATGGCAACCAAAGTAAGAATCGGGGGGGTGCTGCCATGTTGCAGAAATCGTCACTCTCTTTTCTGGGTGACAAGCGATTTTTTTCTGATTTTCCAGAAACCTGTGACGCGATGACCTCGAATGGCCGTTCGCGACAGCGGCGACAGCAAACCCTGTCGTCGCTTGAAAATCATGGGCGTGTGGTTGGGCCTTAAAGTTTTGTATTTGCAGGAAGCGACTCTCAGTTGACGCGGTCAGTTTGGTGACCTTTGCTCGCTTTGTGCTTATCAACTGCGATGTCTCTACACTCGCAACGTTTGCGAACCCCACTGTGGTGCACGGATAGTAAAAAAAGACAGGAAATGTCCCGAGCCCAGATAGAAAGAAGAAGAATATGGCGCGGAGCAGCGGACGAAGGAAGGCAGGAAGCGAGCCGAGATGGCTGAAGGGGGCCGGATAATACAGTCAAACCCCGCAACAACGAAACTGACGGGGCGACGCGACAATTTCGTTGAAGTGAAATTTCGTTGTAGCAAAACAAAGGCACTTTTATTCCCAAAATTTAAAGAGTGTTGACTGCTCCCTTTCTTTTTTTTCCAGCAGCATCACCACGCGATTCTCATTCATGCATAGCAATGCCATGGTGAAAAGCACGCAGAAATAATGGCCACAGCGTATTTCCTGAACGAACCTAACAGTTGCACTAGCACACCAGCACCAGCAGCTGTCCACCGTCAAAGCGTATCTGACAACGCCGAAATGAAGGTGTAGAATTGTGGAGCGGTGGCTTATGCCTATGCTTATCATCCACCAGTTGCGGCTTGCTTATATGGTTGATAATGCAAGCAAACAGCCGCTATGACCACTGACTACACTGCCTAAACGCAAAAAGAACCGAAAGCATTGGCATGGCATTGGCATTGAATAAGCCATTGTTCCACGATTGCACCCAGCAGCAGCATGCAGAAACTAAGCGACTTAGCTTCAGCTTTGGATTGTCTGCAGCTCAGAAGCAAGCCAGTGGCAAAACAAGTGATGTGTTATTGCCATCACTATCGAGCAACGGCGGCCTCCATACTTAGGAAACAGCGGCAGTTTCTGGTGGTTAAAATGCGTGGTTTATACTTCGTCAACGTGTACTTATGTTCCGAAAATGCATCAAAATGTTTGAGATTGTGTTTATTGCGTGGGATTAAATATCTGAGCCTGGAATTGCATCGTCAATTTTGTCTGAAGCGAAACGGCAGAAAAAAAAAGTTTGTTGTGGCGAGAATATTTAGGTATTTACTCCTATGAACTGCTGACAAGGAACTGAAACTTTTTCATTGTAGCGGAAATTTTGTTAAAGTGGTGTTCATTGTAGCGGGGTTCATCTTTAATAAAAAAAAGCGAAAGAGATCCAACGGACAAGGAGACGCCAGGGGCTGATAAGCAAGACCACAGCGGAATGTAGTGGGTGCGCATGTTACGCAGAAGAAAAAAAAATCCAGATTTTGTCAACTGAAGCCGGTGGTGTGTTTATTATGTGAGTGTGTTCATTATGCGAGTCACTAACGGTAAATCGGATGTCACTGTTATGAGTAGATCTGTAAATTAAGGCTTCCAAATATAGGGCTGGTGTTGTATTCATATTTTTTTATAAATTGATTTTGCTTTAGAACAGGTATGTACAGTGGAGGTCAAAATATTGAAGACCACGGAAGTGCGTGGCAAAATGCATCACGGTGCCTTCTGACCGCTGCTTGAGAAGCTCTAGAGCGTACACTGTGCAAGCGCATCCTTTTTCGCCTGCCAACCTGCTCGTTCGTTCGCCCATAGTTTGGTAGCACCATAATGCCAGAGATAACCCCAAGTTCTGATATGAGGAGACACTGTACTTGAGAGGAAATGCCAGATATTTTCATTTATTTAAAAAGAAAATGAGCAGCGTAATTGAGTTTTTGGTGCTAATTTCAAAAATTCAATTACCTTTCTTCTAAGCTAATTAGCTTTTTGAGATATTCTAAAATTAGTTACCTATTGTTTGCTGGTTTGATAACACAGAAAATTTGTATTGAAGAGCTACTATTGGCGCATGCCCAAATACGAATGAACATTAGCCACACAATGATTGGAGTTATTTTTTGTTCCAGTGGTTTTCTGGTATGTTTGTAGCACCTTGAATTTTAGTGTTGCAGACACATCCACTTTATGCTCTAATTTCTGGTGATATTAAAATTTTTAATGATGTGATTCGAAAATTCACACCTATCATTGTGTACATTAAAGGTATGAGCTACATGTCACAATAAAAATGGCAGTTCTAGCTGATCTGGAGGCAGAGATATCCTTTAGGCAAGTTTGCAAATGCAGAAAAATTTGAATTTGGAGAAATCATGCAAGAACACAAGAAGTTCATTTTGGACAAACAGTAGCATTAAATAGTCATCTATTTACAAAAATTTGCAGATTTGGCGTTCTCAGTAGGCACAGGCATGTCGTCCTTCGGCTTTGAGTCATTTTGATGTCGTTTTTTCAATGCCCGCGGCATGTTTTCTGCTGAGGCACACTTGCGAGCCGATGCGGTCGATCGGCGGGGGTCTTTTTCTGGCATGCGTTTTTTTTTTTTTTTTTTTTTTTTTTTTTTGCTGGGGGTCAAGGACTAAACCTGAAAAAAAAATCGATAACAGCGCCATTACAGATATGGGAGGAGCGTTCACGCGCCATCCATGAACCATCATAGGGAATGTTTCCTCGGTCGTCGAGCTTCAGTTCAGCGTAAACATTGCAAACAATGAGCGAGCTTTCTGGTGCGTTTATCAGCAGTTGTGGTGGCCGTCAGCTTTGACTTTAGGTGTGCTGGCCATGTCTCGGTATGCATGCCGTTGGAAGACGCATTCATTGTTGCGAGAACGTCATTCAACATAGTTTACTGATTGCCACTGCTTTTCGTAGTGAGCGTGGCAAGAATGTTCACGACGAACGGGCTGCACGATCACCCGGTGTTCACGAGTGACGAACTGTACACTGGCGTGTTATTACCACAGATCTCGCATGACGAAACAATCTTTATGGCGAGGCCGTATTCGAGCTTGCGTAGGTGCACTGAAACATCGCCGCCGCACCCTTTGCACTTTACGTTTAACTGCAGAGTGTTTAGAGCGTCAAGGCTCGCCAAAGCGAAGCACGTATCTGTCGCATCCAAGCCAGCCGCATCGGCGTCTGTGGCAGTGTCGTTTGCATAAGCAAGCAGATCTGATTTTCGCTTGGTAGCTGGTGTTGATGCAAGGTTCCATAGTTTATCTTCCGCATCCTTTTCAATCTTCAACAAATCATCAGGTTCTGTACGATGTCACGCTGAAACGTCTGTCGAACGTGGGTGCTGTTAGAGCCGCTTTCGCCCTCTAGGCCTAACGCACTTGAAGCAAGCGAACAAGCAGGCTCTCAGGTAAAAAAAGAACGCATGTATGCAATGTGCATCCTTGAGCTTCACAAACTGCTGTCGGAAGGCACCGCCATGCTGCTAGCCAAATGTTCTCATGGTCTTGAATATTTTCGCCACTGTACATACAAAAGGTTGTAGGGTACTGCTGCCTATGTAACAATTGTAAACGCTATTGTTTGCTATAATGGTCTAGATGGGGCATGTATGTTATCGCATTCTTGCATAAATATGGGTAATATTCCAAGCTTTGTAGAAATAAATTTCATTTTCAACATTATGTGTACTTTTTATCATGTTTGTGCCTAGAAATTGAATACTTCCATTATTTGACTTGAAACTACTTATTTGTGCAGGAAGCGGTTGTTGTATACTAAGAAAAAGGGAGAGAGAAAGGAAGAAAGATAGTTTATCAATATTGCTCTGTGCTTGATTGTTTTTCTCAGGCTATGGAACAAATTGACAAAGACAGGACTCAAGAGACTGACGAGCGAAAACGCAAGTATAACAGCATGTACGACGTGAAAGCACCAACAGAAGAAGAAATGGAGGCCTACTACATGAAACGCAAAAGAGATGACGACCCAATGGCATCATTTATGTCGTGATCGTTTTCTGGCTTTCGTGTCATTTATAACTGTACATATTACATCTATTGTGCTCTGTGAGGAAATGTTGTATTTGTTAATGTGTGGTATTAGTCTTGTAGAGTGCAAGTTAATGGTAAATTGGAAAAGCAAAAATGTTATACCCCTGTCACATGTCACAACTTAAGTACACTTTGAGCGAGTGTACTTACTCTCACAAAGTGTCATTTTGGCATTCCGCTGCTACACGATAGAACTAAGTACTTTGGATATGATGGCAGTGGCGATTAGCGGATTTCTAGGGTAACATATATTTGCTATTTTTGTGCCCATGTCTCATCATCGGACCACGTTGCCTTCGTGAAAGTAGCACCAGTGGCACATGCAATTGCAAATGACTAGAGAATGACTCATCTACAGACGTGCAAGGAAGTAAACAACGAGACGGATGCAGCCATTGCACAGCATGTGCTGCCGCATCCCCCTTGTGGACGTGGCCGCAAACTACCCGAGGGCAAGAGTAGCGAGTTTTTTTTGTTGTTTTATGACTTGTTTTAATACACAGCAGTATCTCTTATAACCAAAACAATGGTTTGAAAACAGTGTGAGCTTCGCTTTAGGCAACATCGTAATTCTGCGCAAGTCACTAGTACCAAGGCTACACACTTCGTTGCAGCGAAGTGAGGTTGGGGAACACACTTGCCGGCAAGTGTATTTTGCCGCGAGTGACACTAAACTTTCTCAAGTGACACTAAACTCGCATCGAAATGTACTCTCTCAAAATGCACTTAAGTTGCCATGTGTGACAAGGGTATTAGTCGTTTTACTGTGTAAACATGTATTTCTTACAGTACAGGGTGACCATCAATTGCCTAAGGCAAAATGCTGTCTAAATTTTAGCAGAACATGAGATGCTGTACTATATATACGTGCTGTTAAGGTGTTTTTTTTTTTTACAATCAAAAAAGGCATTTTTTTTATTTGCTAAGCAACAAAGATGCAATCATTATGACAAAACTAAAGCAAATTAAACATAAGTTCTGAAATATTGCTTCCTGTATTTGATATTTACTTTGTATCTTTTATGTTTATGTACATAGTTGTGCTCAGAGAAGTTTAAATAACAACAACGCTCACTTCATTCAGCTTTGCATTACTGTTTGTGTACCAAATAAGCATGGTACAAAGATTCATTACATATATGTGTTAAAATACACTGCCCAAATGAAATCAGCTTGCATGCATTGAAGCCCAAGTGAAACAAGTAAATAGAGTGAACCCTTGATATAATGAAGTCAATAAAATTGTAAAATTATTGGTTTTATTGAAGCTTTGTTAAATTGATATTTGAACTTTTTAAAGCAAAATGTGATTGCAAAACTTCTTTTTCGCATACCAAGTGCCGGAAGAATGTTTCAACAATACGTTAATACAAAAAGTAATTTCAGTACAGTTGAACCCCTTCATAAGAGATGTATTGAGCTGCAGTTTTGTCTGTTATTAGAGGTGTCTCTTACAAGCGGGGCCTTGCACGGTCCGTGATTCTCAGCCAGAGTCCGGCACCCGTTCAAGTTTACCCGCATGAACCCAGCTCAGTCGAAGGCGAAGCCCGGGCTCGGCTTGAACAAAATTTCACATGCCTGGCTGGGCCCGACCGCAGATTGGGCTCAACAAAGGCCTGAGCCATGAATTTAGGTGGTGTTGCCCGAACATGGAATCGACCGCAAGACGTTTTAAGTAGCGGATATCTATGTTTTATTGGTGCATGCTATACTAACATGTGTGCTTTAATTACAGTAATTCCTTGTATAAGAGGGCCTGACAGTTTTAACAGTGTACCGGACATACTGAGTACGATGAATGGTTATTTGGCAGCGATACTCTGTGGATATTTTTTCAACAGGTTCAGTGGGAATCATCAAGAGCGTTTGGTAGCAGATCGGCAGAATTTTATCTTGGGCGGTGCAAACCTTTGTTGCATCATGGGAAGAAGGGGAGAGTGCTTGTGTGGCTTGGGTAGGGAAAAAGTGTAGGTAGTAAGTTTGACGTTTGGATGCCCGTGCCGATTCCAGTCGTAGCAGATATTATAGCAAAAAAAAGTGATTTGCTGCATAAGTTCGCTTTCTGCAGGGAGTGACAGAGGAGACACAGACCATCATGCTCTTTTTACTTCATTTTATTGTAATAGCGATTATATGGACACGATTTCTGCTGCATTTTGCCAGTGCTGTGATGACCCTTAATTGACCAGCGAAGTCTGCTCTAAAACTATGTATGGCCCGATATCACGGTTAAAGTTTTTCATAGGGGCCAGGAGTGCGAATAGGTGTCAAAAGCAGCACCTCGTCACCAGGTCGGTAAGACACAACGCGATGGGATGCGTCATAAATGATCTTCCGCTCGTGGTGTCTCGCTTCAGTATTGATGCGAGACAGCACGAGCGGTATGATGGCGAGACAGTGTGATGGTGAAACTGGGCCAGGCGGGAAATTTATTCTTCGCTAGAAGACTGACATGAATTGCCATGGCTGTTAAAGAAGGAGATGTCGAGAAAGATAGTAGGGGTACGTCTGTACACGAACTAAAACAGTGAGTAGCAAGTTGTTCGCTGAACGGCGGTGTTGTAGGCGAACGTCAGGAATGGTAGAAGAGTATCCCAGTTTTTGTGGTCGGGTTGAACGTAAACAGCTATCATGTCAGCAAGGGTTCAATGAAATCTTTCTGTGACACCATTTGTCTGAGGTTAGTAGCTTGAAAGTCTTGTGAGTAGTTCCAGAAGCGTGCAGTACTTCATTTACCACTTGTCACAGGAACACTTTGCCACGGTCACTAAGCAGTACACGGGGAGCCCCATGGCGCAGGAATATGGTGTGAAGAATGAAGTCAGCAAGTTCCACAGCTGAGCCTGTAATAACAGAGGACGTCTCAGTGTAGCTTGTCAGGGGGTTCAGGGCGGTCACTATCCATCGTTTGCCAGCAGATGTGACGGGGAGAGGCCTGTAAAGGTCGACACCTACAACTTCGAATGGCATTGAAGGGCAGGAAATTAGCTGTAGAGGTCCAGCAGGTGCAGACGTTGGGAGTTTATGACGCTGGCATGGGGAGCAGGAACCGACGTACCGCGCCACGCTAGAAGAAAGGCCAGGCCAGTAATAACGACATTGAATGCGGTCAAGAGTTTTTTGAAAACCAAGATGGCCAGCAGTCAAGTCATCGTGGCAGGCTTCGAGCACCTGAAGTCGAAGGGAGCGTGGCAGCACAGGAAGCCAGCGTTGATCATCAGGATAGTAAATGTGGCGGTAGAGAACCCCATTGCCCAGCCTAAAGTGCAGGAGTTGACGACGAAGTCACGCGTTAGGTAGATGAGAAGCTCCCGAAAGGTGGTCTATAATGTGCTTTCAGTATGAATTGGACCGCTGGCGGGAAATAAATGTTGGCTGCTCATTCGAAAAGGGTTGCCCTATTAATGCAAGCATATGAACTGCGGTAGATGTGGCAGTCGAGTTCTCACCAATGCTGATATGGGGAGAAAGAAGCGGGCAACGAGATGAAGTGTCGGCGTCTTGATGTTTTCTACCAGACTTGTAAGTTATGTCAAAGTCGCACCCCTTCAAGCGTAGTATGCACCGACCCAAGCGTCCGGACAAGTTCTTCTGTGTAGAAATCCAGCATAAGGCGTGGTGGTCCGTAACGATTGTGAAGTGACAGCCGTGGAGATAGGGACGGAACTTCTGCACCGACCAAACCACAGCCAAACACACTTACTCAGTTATTGTGTAGTGCTTTTCGGCAGGGGTAAGTACGTGACTGGCATATGCAACAACTTTCTCTAGGGAAGACTTGTCGCGTTGTAGAAGCACTGCTCCTATACCAAGGCCGCTAGCATCGGTATGGAGGATAGTTGGTGCGGCTTTGTCAAAGTGGCAGAGCAGAGGTTCAGATGTGAGGGCCCGCTTCAACAGGTCGAATGCCGTTTGACATTCTTGAGACCACAGAAAGGGGACGTTGGAAGCAAGTAGCTGGTGTAATGGAGCAGCAATAGAAGCGAAGTTCTGGATAAACCGGCGAAAATAGGAGGCGAGGCCAATGAAACTGCGAAGCTCCTTTGGTCTTTCGGGACGCGGAAAGTGAAGGACTGCAGATATCTTGTCGGGGTCGGGCCGAATGCCATCTTTGCTAACAATGTGTCCTAAGACCTTGATAGATTTGCTAGCGAAAGAGCATTTCTTAGTGTTTATTTGGAGCCCGGCGCCAGCAAGGCACGTCAGAACTTGATCCAATCGTTATGGGTGCTCAGGAAATGTTGACGAAAAGATAATAATGTCGTCCTGGTAGCAAAGGCAACTTTTCCATTTTAGGCCACGCAGCACGGTGTCTATCATGCGTTCAAAGGTCGCGGGTGCGTTGCAGAGCCCGAAAGGCATCACGTTGAATTCGTATAGCCCATCGGGGGTTGCGAACGCTGTTTTCTCCTTATCGTCTCCATCATGGGAATCTACCAGTACCCAGAGCGCAAGTCGATGCTTGAAAAAAATTCCGCGCCTTGTAGGGAATCAAGGGCGTTGTCAATGCGTGGCATAGGGTACATGTCCTTGCGTGTGATCTTATTGAGCGCCCGGTAGTCCACGCAAAAACGCACAGAGCCATCCTTTTTATGCACCAAAACAATAGGAGACGACCAAGGGCTAGAGGAGGGACGGATGACTTCCTGTTTAAGCATGTCAGCAACGTTTTCTTCCATATTTTTTTTCAGCTAGAGACGTGGGGTAGGGTCGGCGGTGTACGATAGATGTCCCAACTGTTTGAATTGGATGTGCTGTAGTACTAGTGTGGCCCAGCTTAGACGAGCAAATATCAAAAGAATTTGCGTGAGCAAATTCTTTCGTGAACCAGATAATCGCAACATTGTTATTGCAGAAACATTGTGCATTGTACGTCTGGTGCAAAAACCGCGCAGCGGCGTTATTACAAATGAGTAACCTTTTTATTCATTTTCACCTACGCGTAAGCCACCATGTTCATGACTGTGGTAGTGTGGTTGAACGAAGTGTCTCAAGATGTCGACACTATCGTTACAGCAAGCTTGTATTTTTCACTCTTTTGCGATAAAAAAGTCTCGTGATTTCGCCGCAACGGTGATTCATTTCTATG